TTTTTTTTTTAAAGTAGACCCCTTGTATACATAAGAATTCTAGTTTTGGGGCTGGAGAGATGGCTCCATGGTTAAGAGCACTTTTGCTCTTACAAAGGATCAGGGTTCCATTCCTAGGACTCACATGGTGGTTCATAACCATCAGTAATTCCAGTTCCAGGATTCAACACCCTCTTCTGACCTCCATAGGCACCAGGTGCACATACACAATGCCCATATATATATGTAGACAAAACATGCACGCACATACATCTTTTCTTATTTAAATAAAATGCCAATTACAGATCAGAGACGTAAGGCTTAATGACAAAGGTCTACAGCAGCCAGGAGAGGTGGAAGGAGAAATAACCTCTCTTGGTGTCCTAGTTAGGCACTGTTCTAGTGCTGGGAAGAGACACCATAACCAAGGCAACTCTCATAAAAGAAAGCCTTTAGTTGGGGCCTCCTTTCAGAGGTTTAGTCCATTATCATCATGGCAGGAAGCATGGCAACCTATAGGCAGACATGATGCTGGAGTAGATGAGAACTACTTCCTGATCCACAGGGAGTGATTGGGCTTGGCATGGACTTTTGAAACCTTAACAACCACCACCAGTGACACATTTCCTCCATGGCCATACCCTATAACCCTTCTAATTCTTTCAAATAGTGCTACTCCCTAGGAACTCAAGTATGAGCCTGTAAGGGCCATTCTTACTCAAACTACCATACTTGGGAATGGGCATGGAGAACATTAAGCATCTTGCTAGGTAATAGCATGTTACTGTAGATAAGGTTATGTTGCTTCCCAATACAACCAGCTTTTTATTAACCCCTACCATCTGATCTCTTTAGGAGATTGAGTTCTCCAAAATTCCTCTCACCCCATACATACGAGTAGGAAATGTTACAAAATACTTTACGTATGAATGCTACTCCCTGCCTTCTCATCTAACACACAGGCACACACAGGAACACACACACACACACACACAAACACACACACACAATCTTGTCTCTCACATTTCCAGAACGAGACAGATGTAAAGGTGTCATCTCACCCCCACACATCTGACTCAAGTAAAAAGAAACAAGAAACTGAGGCTGGTGACCCAGGCCAGTGAGCTCAGCTTCCGAGGAGGCTGAAGCAGGAGGGTCAAAAATTTGAAGCCTACTGAATTCCTTAGAGCAGTGGTACTCAACTTTCCTAACGCTGAGACACTGAACACAGTTCGTTCCTAATGTGATGACCCCCAACCATATAATTTTTCATTGCTACTTCTTAAGTGTAATTTTGCTACTGTCATGAATCATAATCTGACATGCAGGATACTGACCCACAGGTTCAGGGCCACTGCTGCCTTGGAGCTCTAGCTTAAGAATCAAAAGGACCAGGGAAAGAGCTTCCTGGTGGAGCACTTGTACAGGACACTCAAGGCCAAGGTTCAGTCCCTGATTGGAGGAAGAGCTGGGTGGAGGGAACATCTCATATACTAAGCTACTGAAATATTCCCTTCCCTCCTGCTGCTCAGCCTTTAAGACTTGGCTTGGAATTGTTTTAGGAGTTTCTGTTATTTGCAGTTACAGAAAGGCAAATTACTGCCAGATAGTAGTAAGTTGCAAACAAACAAACAAACAAACAAACAAAAAACACCAAAAAAAAACCCAAACACATTTGTTTTCCTTTTTAATTTAGAATCTTGTTAACAATACATCATCTCATCAGTAGAAAACAAAACAAACAAAACAGCCATTTTAGAAAATAATGTGCTAACTGCCCAATACCAGGGAAACGAGGTCCCCTCGCTGGACTCTACTGGCAAGCCCAGGTATGCAATGAACTTTAGAGCCTCCATCTTGGATGGATGGTGAAGCATTCAAGTAAACAGTGAAGAGTTCCAGGTGTGGGTTTCTGAGAGGTACCGCCTCAGAGGAGACTCCAGGGCAGCCACAGCCCTCCAGTTCATCCAGTATTGCGTGGCCTTGGGATTAACCAGGCGTTTTCTCCTGAGGAACTGTGATGATTCACCAGCCTCAGGATTTAGTGGTTATAAAACATCTTCCATATTAACAAACACTTGAGCCACATGAACACAATTCTCATCGCTTCTCCAGCTTCTTGTACTTGGCTTCTGTGTGGGGAAGAGCAGGAATTGTATCTTTTAACACTAGCGCTCACAGAGATACCTTTTAGTTAGATTTTTCAAGCAAGTTCAAATACACCCATTGTGTTCGTAAGGTAACCACTTCCGTCTCATCATGTGTACAAATACAGAGATCACAGATCTGCACAACTTCAAGGAGTCAAACACACACCCTGACTGTGAGCCCAAACCACACCCACAAAGTTCTAACTGTATCAATAACACATGTTCAGACAGCTCAGACAGAATGAAGCAGGATCCACTGGCACTGGCCCTACTGGCAGCCTTAGTAAATTTTAGAAACCTTCCAGGAACAATCCCAGATAGCCTCTGGAAACAGACTGGAACACTCCAGAAGTATAAATGTATGCTTCTGTTTTTATGTCTGTTTGACTTCTCTTCTCCCTACCCCTACCCCGAATCCACATAGCCTATACAGGTCTCACAAACCCCAGGCTGGCTTCAAACTCACTATGTAGCCAAGGATGACCTTGACCTTCTGATTTTCCTGCCTCCACAACCTCAGTGCTGGAATTACGAGTGTGTACAACCATGCCCTGTTTGCCCAGTGCTGGATACATACCCAGGACTTGGCATCCATAGTATCTTGGTGATTAGGATTTGGTGTTCTTAATCCTAGGATGTCATGAATGGCAAGTAGGCACTCCATCAAACTGAGCTGCATTCCTGGTCTTTCTATATTCTTATTCTTTTTTTTTTTTAAGATTTATTTATTTATTTAATGCATATGAGTACACTGTCACTCTCTTCAGACACACCAGAAGAGGGCATCAAATCCCATTAATAATGGTTGTGAGCCACCATATGGTTGCTGGGA